TAAATATATACTTATAAATTACATGATACTTATTATATTCAATATCAAACATAAATTTTTAAATATTTAATTAAATACTAGCACTTGGCCCGTGTAGCCCAATGGTTAGAGTCACTGAAAAGTGTACATCCCTCTCTCCTGGGCGGATTTCGAACCCGTCCCATGACAAAACTGTTCAAAAAAAAAAATTAAATACTAAATTAAAAAATTATACCTAAAATTTTTTAAATTATATACCAAATATAATTCAACCCTAACTTATGCGAAAATACTCACCCTTAATTAATGGGTTCCAATTTCCAGTCTTCCAAGTTTCAATTTCAAATGGTGAGACAAGAGTGCAAGACCGGACAACTTGATTTGATTGAACGCGAAGCAGCACGGTAAGAACGATAAGCCTTTTTTTTTTTTTTTTTTGGAACACGGGGGAATGTCAGGAAATGAAAAAAATTGATTGATATTGTAACGAATGAAATTTTAATAAATATAAAAAATTGAGTGCACCTGAATTAAGGTATCCAAAACTACATGCAAAGATGATGAGATTGTTTGAATATTCAAATTTTAAAGACTTTCAAAACTATAAAGCTTGGTCAAATGCACCCCACCTTCAGGTCAAATGATATCTTGCTACATTAAGGTGTATTTTTTTATATTATTTTTTTATATAATTTTATATGGCATTTAAATAATTCTTTTTATTAATAGATTTGCCAAGTTTATGTCTTAAGGTATAAGTTAAAAATACAATAAATATGTTTTCATAATAAATTTGGGTTAAAAATAAAAATTAATTTTTAATTTTTCAAATATTCAATTAAATTTATTCATTTAGCATCAAAACTAAAATTAATATCAATTTTAATTTTTTTTTATATATGTTTATCATAAAAAATACTTTTAATATGTGCTTTAGGGATACAGATTAAATAATTCTTTTATTTATTTAGGACATATAATATTAAATACATTTGTTTTTTTAATAATATGTAAAAATTATATAAAAAAATTATCCCTATATCACCCAAAAAAAAAAGAGAGAAAAAAAATAAAAGGCTCAAATAATATAGGAATCATTTTTTTCTTTTCTTTCTCTATTTTTT